AAAAATTCACAAAAAATTCAAAAAGACTCAGAACAAAGCCAAATTAAGTTCACGAAGGTTTTATTAGGTGCACTAACGATTCCAAGCATTTTAAACATTTTTTAAACATTTTAGAATATTTTAAAAATAGCAAAAACGGGGCTGTAAAAAAAACGTTAAGCGAAACAAGGGGACCTAAAACTGTCATCGTTAAGTGAAGCATGGTCCCAAAATCGTTAAGCGAAAATCGCCCATAGGGAAAATCGTTAAGTGAAGCACAAGATCACTCCGAAAAAGCCATCGTTAAGTGAATTTTTCGTTATACGAAGCAATCGTTAAGCGAGGCACCACTGTATCTCTTTTGACTCTTCGTGGCTCCATCCAATGGAATCCTGGGAATTGTAGTTCGGCAAGGCACGCCAACGCCTCGGCTGAAGCTGTGGAGAGAGTTTGAGTATACTTCCTTGCAAAGAATTCGAAATCTTTCACCAAACTACCAGTCCCAGAATTCCATAGGGTGGAGCCATGACGACTGAAAGCGGTAGCCATTCGACATCCTACAACTGTGTAGCCTAGGTAACATTTTCGGGTCCGTCTCCATGACCATACCGAAATCCATCACGGATCTGGTGGAGCGGAGTTTGCAAAAGTGCCCAGGTTCATATACCCTCCCACCCAGCTGCCTTCTCCTCTTATCTAAAACTCAGGAGGTGGTTTCGGGGCAGACCACACGCTCGGTCTCTCTACCACTTCAGACAAAGTGGTTCTGATTCGGTCTCTGCAAACAGAGCTAGGCTTTCCATGCGGAACGCTGAGGAAAGCCAATGGCGCCAGGAAGATCTGGGCCCTGGATAAATCACCCTCAGGAAACTCTGCATGAAGGTCTTGCACCTGGAGACACGCAAGACGGCCATTTCAACATCCCTCCCCCTGATACACACAGAGACAACACATGGCTGTACACACCAACCTCAGGATGGGGAAGACATTTTGAGAAATCCAAAAACTCCTTATTTGTTACAGAGAAAGGTGAGCCCCCGGGATCAACCGTCTCTCTTGTGTAAAGCACCTTCTTGTGTTTCCACACAGCCGGCACATCAAGGGAAAAGGTGCCACTTCGGCTCCTCCATGTGCTAGCCAACATTACGCAACTAGCATTCGGAGATAGGGGTTCGCATGACATCTGTGGCCCAAGATGCAGCCATTCCGGAGTTCATTTTAATGCACAGAACTGCTCTAACAGGGTCAAAACCTGGGGATGAGTTAATATGGATTGCCAAAAGGACATTGAGGGAGGACACTGATTTCCATTCAGTTGCACATGCACAATTTTTAGGTATGGTTGCAAAGCCTTCTGGGTCACTACGTTTAAATCCAACTTGGACTAGACAGCTCGTCAAATTAAAGGCACGCTTTTGAAAAGAGGAGTGCCATCTGGTTGTCTTTCAGCTCGAGGACTCTTCTTTCTGAAAGATGACACACGGTCACACTTGTCATCCTCGGCAGGTACACTCATGAATCCTGTATGCACGGGTTTCAGCCGTTGGGTGATGCCTGGGAGGCCCACGCGAGGCCAGGGAAAAGCTCGTCCCTGCTCACACGTTGCAGCAACTTTGGAATAAACTTCCAGAGTTCCCGCACGTCTCTAAGCAACGTAGGCTGCCAAAGCAACACCACAAACATCCCTCTATACGACAAGACCCGCTTTGTGTATAATAAACCATCAGCAGCCTGTAAAGGGCTGCCAACTTTTCTGATTTTAAAACCCAGCCTCCTACACGGTTTGGAAGGAGCCGGCAGACTCCAGGCAGGGAATGCGAACCATCTGGAGATGGACCGGCTTTGTAGACCTCTTGATGGGCCGTGGTCGCGGGTTGCTTGGGAACGCTCCCACCCCAAATGTGGGGAGGCAACCACAGCTTTGGAGGCCTCACGAGACCGAACCTGTGGGTGGGTGTCTCCATGCATGTGTGTGCATCGGAGCCTCAAAGGGTGCTCTCTATAGCAGGAAGGCTCTAGATTTTTGGAAGCACAGAAAAGGGGACATCAAGAGACGCAGCTTCAAAATGTCACCGCATGAGAATGTGTGTCACGACAAGGCTCTCTCTCTCTCTCTCTCTCTCTCTCTCTCTGTGTGTGTGCATGTGTTTGTGTGTGTGTGTGTGTGTGTGTGAGTGAGTGTGTGTGTGTGTAACCATACATCTTCCCTTGAGCATATTCCTAAGGTCAAGTTGGCCATGAAGGTCAAGTTGGCCATGACTACAATGAGCTTTGTCCACCAAGCTTCCCCTGTACGAAAAGAAGCAGGATAACCAAGCCCCTTTGAATCCCTTGTTGGGCAAGAGAATATTGGAATTATTCTATTAGAATTAATGGTCTATCACTGAATTCTGGAGACTTTCCCCCTCTAATGCACCAGTACCGCTTTCTGTCATTTCTGAAGGCCTTCTGAGTTGAGAGCGATGCATAATTCAGATGCCAAACTCATCTGAATTTAACAAAACAAGAGACTCGCAGGAAAGTGTTCCCAGATTCTTCGAGGGGGGGAATCCCCCAAACACCCATCCCACTGCTGCTCCCATGGATGGGTTTTGTCTCAAGCGTCAGGGAAGGCAGAACAGGGACGTAGGCAGGCGGGTCTCAGGATTTCAGGAAATGACAAGCAAAATCAAAACAGGAAGGTACATACAAGACGGGAGTCCTGGCCAGGTGGGGTACGTTAGGGTTCCTGGCTGCTGAAGTTTTTGTTTGTGGCCACATGCATCTGTGTCTCGAAGGCACGGACCTCTTCCAGGGACATGTCTGTAACACGCAGAGCTTGGTTAAGCAAAGGACAGGCAGTGGGAGGGGGTGCCCGAGTCTCCCTTGAGAACGAAACATCGGCTTCAACAAGGACCAATACGTTGATATGTATCAATAAGCTGTAGCGGTTGATAACTCGTAATTTCTACATTCTGTCTAAACCAGTGATGCCACACCGGGAGAAGGAAGGTCTTACTTGTTAGGAATGAGCCATTTGGATTTTTAAGACTCCGGCTCCACCTGACAGACTCACACCTAAAGACACCTGAATTTTGCTCACCTGGAGAAAGGCCTAGCCTGAAGCCTTCATGGTTTAGTTCAGGTATAAAGTAAAGGTAAAGGTTCCCCTTGACAATTTTTGTCCAGTCGCGTTCGACTCTAGGGGGTGGTGCTAGGCCACGAAGCGTTCAAGCTAGGCCTTTCTCCAGGTGAGCAAAATTTAAGTGTCTGTAGATGTGGAGAATTCTGGGAGCTGGCATTCAAAAAAAACCCCGACATGACACATCCTCCCCACAATTATATCAGTTTGATACCACTTCAAGAGCTGCTGCTCCCTTCTAAGCCTTCTAGGAGAGAAACGTAACTACCCCACTAGACTACAACCTGTCCTTGGATTTCCTTGAAATTCAGCTGTGATAGTTCAACTGGCCTCAAACGAATGTAACTGCAGTATAGACACACTTGGCGAACCTCTCTCGGCCTTCATCCTCATCGTTTTACATTGCTAAGGAGTAGGCTAAGAAGGAAGACTAAATGACTCTTGGCTTTCTGGCCTTTTTGAGAGTTCCTGTAACACAACTCACCTGTGGGAATACCACAAAGCCTTTCCCACTGGCTAGTTGCCATATAATGCATGAGTGCATGTGAAAATTAGGAGAAAACTCCCTCTTCCCTCTGGTAACTAAAGAGACAGGTTTAGGACAGGAGAAGACGCAGAGAACTCAAAGGCTTTAATATTGTGTACAGTGGTGCCTCGCTTTATGATTGCCCCGCATTACGATTAATCCGCTTTACGATGATCTAATTGCGATCGCAAAATGATGGTCTAAATGGGAGAATTTCGCTTTGCGATGATCGGTTCCCTGCTTTCTAACAGCTGATCGGCGGTTTCAAAATGGCCGCCAGGTAATTAAAATAGCTTCCCGCTGTGTTTAGGGACGGATTCCTCGCTATATAGGCAACGAAAATGGCCGCCGTATGGAGGATCTTCGCTGGATGGTGAGTTTTTACCCCATTAGAACGCATTGAACGGGTTTCAATGCGTTTCAATGGGTTTTTTATTTTGCTTTACGATGTTTTCGCTTGACGGCAATTTCCCTGAAATGGATTATCATTGTTAAGTGAGGCACCACTGTAGTTGTGATGTCTGTATGTTGTAAGGGTGGATTCAGCTTGGCTCTCCTGATGCTGTCGGACAACAACTCCCATAATTCTTCACCATTGTCTAGAGCTGTTGGGAACTGTAGTCCAGAAGGCCTCCAGTGGGCAACTTCCAAGTCTACAGATCTAAACCAGCAAGGGAGATGGGTGGTTTCTGGGGTTCCCCTCCTACTCCTTTGTGCACCCACAGTGAGCATTTCCAGCCCCTCTGGTTCCGACCGTGACGGAACCCCGCACAAAGGAGGCGGGGTCACAGGTGAGGGGGCGGAGCCCTGCCCAGCAGGGCTGAAAAAGGAGAGGAAAGACGTTGGTATCAACGTCTTGATGAAAAGAGTGTGCAGGCCAGGGTGGTGGGTGCGAAAGGTGCACCCCAACCCAGAGGCACATGGAAAAAATTGAGAAAGCCGAGAGCTGCAGTGGAAGATGGGGTTGTTAGTACCATTATGAAGGAGAAAGCTGCAGGGGGGAGGGGGAAAAAGGTAAAGATTCCTAACCGTGGAGGAAGATCACCTTCTCTGGGCTTCAAGGTGATGTCTTGACCACCACAAGCCCCACTGCAAAGCTACCAGCCCTCCTTTGCCAAGTCCTGTTGCGTTGGGTCACGCAAGGCACAGTTGCTGGGATGTCTAATTGAAAGCTGCTAGGCAGGAGGGCTGAAAGAAGTCCCCGGATTTATTTTTGCCTCCTGCGCTTGCACCGGCTCAGAAGTAGCAGATTGCCCACCCTCTTGAGCGATCTCATGCTTGCATCTGAGGAGCCATCAGAACGAATGGACAGGAAAACACCCCCCCACACACACACACTTATTGTGATTCTAGGCCTTAATGGCTGCAAAGTCAGGTGGGGAAAAAATGCAACGCTTGGCAAAATCTCGCAGGGCTCGTCCCAGCCTGTGAGACAGGGCAAATATAAAACAGGATGCTTGGCGGCCGAAAAAGCCTTCAATTTTTTCCTTGCTTTGTGCTCTAAGAGGGTGTCCACGTCTGGATCCGACCCGCTTGTCTTAGTCTACAAAGTCCTAAGGTTCAAAAGTCTTTCTCTTAAAAAAAAAAACTTTGCAGAAAATGTTTGCAATCATGGAGATCCTAGCAGTTACCAAAAGATATGGTGCAGCTACTGCTTATTTAAATCCTAACTTTGACTTCCTTATTTTCTTCCTGGGCTGTTTCTCACTCTTCGGTGCCCTCCCCTCCCACTTTGGATGTTTTAGCATCTGGTTGTGTAAACCAGAAATGGGAAACAGGTGCCCCCCCGAAGAGCATGGACGTTTAGTAGCTTAGGTCTCTGGCTGAGAAGCCAAAGGTTGGGAGTTCGATTCCCCGCTGGGCTTGGATATCTATAGGTTCCCTTCGACCTCTGTAGCTCCAAGATCATTATACATGTTTCTGTTTTGGACGATCGTTCGCACAATCTCGCACCCAACTGGCTCTGTTGGTGGGCGCTGGAGTCTCGTAACAGCTGGAGGTGCACAGTTTCCCTGTCCCGGGTGTGAAATTCCCCGCTCTCGGTTTGCCACTTCACAAGGCAAGCTTAGAAACCTGCCATTCTCTCCCACCCTTTCAGCAGAGACCTTGAATCAATGCCAGAGATGAGAAAAGTTACTTTTCTGGACTACAGGTCCCATAATCCCACAGACATCACTCACAGCTCCTGTGGAATTCTGGGGTGGTGTCGTCCAAAAGAGCTATTTCCTCTGTCTGGAGGACTGTTTGATTAACAGCCAATTAACGAGGTTGGTGCCGAGGGGTGTCAGCCCTCCCATGAAAAAGGAAGAAGAGAACGAGGTGTTTTCTCACTGCTCAAAGTGCCGTTGACCTGTTCTGAGCAGGGCTGGGAAAAGCCACCATTTATTTTCGGAACCTTTGTCAGTCATTCTCCTCAAGATTTCGGTGCCCTCTGAATGTTGGCGCCTTGGGGCAGAGCCGTGGGTCCTCCAGCCTAGTTCCAGCCCTGACAAAGAATCATTTGCAAAACTCATTTTGAGGCTCTTGTCTTCACTTTGTCTTTCTGCTGGATCAGCTCTACTCTTCCCTCGCCACTAGAGGGCAGCAAAACCAAACCAGCACACAAGCTGGTTTTTGGGGGCCGGCACTTTGAAAAAAAAAACACCTCACAATCCTCAGAGTCAGAACGACTCACCAGTGAGCACTTCCTAACAGAGTTCAGCTCAAGGTTCAATGGGCTCCCGCTTCTTGGGCCCAAATCAGCCGTGTCATTTCAACTCTGAGAGGAGTTCTTTTCCACCCGCCTTGCTGATTTCATTGTTAGTACTAGCTTTCAAAGTAAGATTACTGATTTGTCTTTCCTGAGAGAGAATCAAATCACCCATTTCTCCTGCAGCTGTTGTCTCATGGGAAAGTTTACAGCCAGCAGGATCCGTGCTTTTATTTCATAATTTATACACCAGACGACTGCGGTGGAAGCTCACCAGGACTCATTCATGCCTTGTGTCTCAGGCTGCCTGTGAGATTATGTGAGTTGTAGGCCCAAAACAGAGGGACATCTCTAATTTCTGCCCCTACCCCTTTGCTAGTGGGTAACTGTCTGGATAACTCAGTGGGTAGAAGTCCTTAGCTGTGGGGCCAGTGGTTGGGAGTTTGATTCCCCACTGTGCCTCTTAGAAGAAGAGCCAGCCTAGGTAGCCCTGGGTGAGCAATGTAGTCCCAAGAGCACTGCCAAAGGAAGGGAATTGATAAATCCCCTTGAGAACTATGGAAAGGGTTGCCACAAATCAGAACTGACTTGACAACACACAATCGACCGATCAATCAGGCAGCTAGAGATTGTTGTTCAACTTTCCCTATGAGGCGCTGGACTTATGTTACATCAACATCTGCAAAAGCATTATGGGAAATGCAAAATGGCAACGGGCTGGCCCCAAGTGAAGTCCACAGGAGCAGGGAAGATCCTAGTATAGGAGGGAGTCTGCATGAAGCGCCCCTGCTGGAGCCCAGGGCTGTCTCATGACTATCGGCTGCCAGAGGCAAAAGGACAGCGTGGCACTCTCAGCCCCGTGGAGGCTAGTGACTCCCATGTTATGGGGGTGGTAAATCTGCTCAGGGTTTTATCCTGAACATCAGAGGAGCTGTCCATGGTGCTGAACCTATTTTAAGGTGCAGGGTTCAGCACCCTGGTGACTTCCTGTGAAGCCTGGACGAAAACCCGGAGTGGATTCATGGCCCTCATGGCACTGGAGTCACTAGCCGAACCTTACCATGTGCAAAAGCCACCCGGAGCTCTTACACCTGCGAACAGTGGGATAGCTTCAGATGTGCTACTTGTATAGTCCAGTCAGTTCAGTTGCCTCCAAACCTTGTGGTTGCCCCGGGCCATTTGCTGCTTGTGATAGCCACCTCAGTCTGCCTCGTGGTAGGCCCCCCCTCCATCTTTGAGCTCAGAACCAGCCTTCAGATGAGCAACGAGCCCTTAAATCTAAGATGCAGGAGGGTGATGTTGTGAAGCAGCAACCAAGCAGGATCTGAGCGAAGAACTAGAGCAGAGCTACACAGAACCCCTGATTTAGGAAAAGCAGTCAAGAGAAGTTACACAGAGATCAGGACCCGAGGGAGACAGTTAGTCGTGTTAGAAAAAGACCCCAGAAAAGCTTACTCCTCTCATGTAGGAAGGAGAGGGTAATTTTCTGCTCTCCACTTACCTCTTGGGAATCTAAATACATCTTCAGATGAAAATTGGCTTCATGCATGGAATAAGTTTGTCCACCTCTAAGTAATTCAGAGCTGTGCCTGTCAACCTTTCCTTTTCAGACTACAGTTCCCCAGATCCCCCAGGCCCAATGGCCAGTGGCCCCTGCTGCCTGGAGTTTTGCAGAGAGATGTACAGTGGTGCCTCACTTTACGACTGCCCTGCATTACGATGAATTCGCTTAACGACAATCGTTTTGGGATCGCAACGGGTTTCAATGTGTTTCAATGGGTTTTTTGTTTTTGCTTTACGATGTTTGTCGTCGTTAAGCGAGGCACCACTGTAGTCTTGAGAAGGAAGGTTTCCAGTCTCTGATTTGAAGGAGGAAGACCTGTTTTGTGGCAACGGTTAGCCAGCAGCGGCTTTGCGCTCCCCAAGTCCAGAGAGAAGCCCAAGGCTCTGGAACGCAACTGGGACATTTTTCCCTCCCGCAACGCTGGCTGATCGGAGGCTTTTACTCCTTTGAAAATAAACCTGCCAACCTTCCGCGGGGGACCTCCTGATGCTTCAACCTGGTTCTAGCAGAGGACCGACGCGTTTTGTGAAAGCCAACTGCCGTTGACTAGGATCCTCGCTGCGACCTTTTATTAAATCTGGTTTGTCTTTGCTTTGAAAGCCTTCCTTCTGCATTTTGCTTTTGAGTGTGATTTGAGTGCCCTCTTGGGGATCCTTAAACATCGCACTGAGGGCTACAAACATGCGAGTCAAGTAAGAACAAAAGCAATTTTTTTTAAAAAAAACACAGGGCTCTAGAGTCCTGCAAGATTTCAGCTGCTGTTTCGATTCCAGGAAAAGCAAACACATTTCAGAAATGTTCCATCAGGAGGCCGTCAACAAGCCCGGGCAAGCTCGAGGCGGCTGATGGCAGGCCAGTTACTTTTTACCCATCTCATTACATATAATCAGAGACTTGGAATTGTAATGTACACAAAAGGCCAGGAGGCATTTATCATGATTTCAAGGCATGATGAAAGCCTCATTTGGAAAGCCTCCTTTTTCGGATCATATCTCCAAAAAGGGCACCTAGCTAATGCTGAGTGGGGATTCTGGGAGCTGTAATCCATAAAGTAATAAAGTAGGATGCAGTATCTGCAGGGGATCGGTTCTAAGCCCCTCCCTGCTGATGCTAGAAATCACGGATATGGTGAACCATAGATATAGCACCGTCTCTGGTTCCCTCTAGTGGCCAGTTCTGGTAATACAGCTTTAAAGCTGTATTACCAGAACTGGCCACTAGAGGGAACCAGAGATGGTGCTGTATCTATCTATCAATATACAGTATATTAATTTAATATTTTCAGGAAGTGGATGAGTAAAATAGCAGGTATTGATCCTGCAGATACGACAGTCCTGCTGTATTTCCAGGAACAATGCTGTATGTCAGAGGTTTGCAGTGCTGGAATTCAACTCAAAGGATGTTTATAGGCAGAATGGGAGAAGGACAGGAAGCTAAGGAGATCCAAGCCGTTCACTTACCACACCACTCGTCTACCCAAGCGAAGGCTTGCCGGTGACCTATCAGCAGGATGTCCCGAATTACCTGCAACCCCAAAATTTGGTTAAAGGGGGTAAAATGCATTGATTTATTAATTTATTTTTGCACCTTCTCAAAGTTGTAAGAAGTTTGGATGGTAATTCCCCTGTGCAACTTTTCAGAATTTGGAAGAATAAAACTTTTTAGGCGTTTCTTCCTATGGTTTCCATTCGTGCCTGTAGCTGCAGACTTTCTGGATTTTTGCAAACTTAGCTTGTCTAACTCTATAAGTTTTATCTGTATATATATATATTGCTTCTATGTTCCATAAGCACAAAAGTACTTCGAAGTTGTAAAAACCCAAGACTCAGGAATGAAAAAATTAATTCTTTGATTAGAAATCCCACCATCCTCCAGTAATAACACCGTCACCACCTGGAGGATTCTGGGAATTTTAGCGGAAAGCTCTTCCCCTAAGCTCGCTCATCTGAACCAGAGGTGGGCACGAACTGAAAAACAAACCAGGAAGTTCTGTGCACACACACAGAGGCGACAGACGTGTGGGGAGAAAATGGGTGGGGGGGGCAGGGTTTAGTTCCCCCTACCCCCAGGCATGAACTTAAAAAAAAGTTTGTGATTCGTTTTTTTTTTTAAGTTCGGATGGTTCGTGAGTAGCCACAAACCACGAACCACCCTTTTTTGTGGTTCGCACCCATCTCTAATCAGAACCCCTTCTGCCCATCAGATTGATAACGGTGACACCAGCTCGTATGTTCTGAGCATTCCTGTAGAGGGTACGCTTGCTTTTTTTCTGCAGGGAGGTGCTTCTTGCGCCCGGGAATGGTCCCTCCCACTTTCCCCACCAAAGTACAGTGGCACCTCGCACAACAAGTGCACCGTAGAACGATGAATCCACACAACGGGGCCGTTCTAGCGATTGCAAATGCGAACGCACACCGATGGCCCCTATGGCTCAAAATTGCAGAGCGAAGGTCGGTAAGAGGTTCGCTTACCGACCTTCGCTTTGCGACCCGCCGATCAGCTGTTCGGCGGCTTCAAAATGGCCGCTGGAAGCCCCAAAATGGCCGCGCGCAGCATTTTCGCGCCCTTGTTAAGCGAGGGGAAGGCGCGAAAATGGCTGCCGGCCATCGGAGAAACATCACTGTATGGTGAGTAAAGCTGCTATTGGAACGCATTAAACTAAGTTTAATGCGTTCCAATGGCTTTTTTTTGATCCGTACAGCGATGTTTTCACACAGCGAGGGTTAATCAGGAACGGATAAACCTCGCTGTGCGAGGCACCACTGTAACTCCCTTTCTGGCCATTGCTCGTAAGCGCGCTAACGGCGGCCCTAAAGATCGCCCGAGGGCGAAGGCTCTCCCGGCCCTTACCTTGTGGACAAACTGCTCCACCCGCGTCTGCAGCCCCCACACCTCGAACTTGACCGTCACCAGCTTGTAGGAGCACATGATGGGCTGGGTGTGCTCTCGCCAGCCCTCCCGCAAGGGCCCGCGGCCGGTCTTCGCCGAGCTGAAGTGACGGAGATCCTGCTGGCGAGACAGAAGAAGCCGGGGTTGGCAAACCACGGTCAGGATCCGGGTGGTGGCAGCTGCAGGATCGGGGCCAGTTTGGTCCCAGAAAGAGCCCCGCATTTGCAGGATCAAGCCACTCAACACAGAGACGTCTGCTTTCTTCATCGTTACTGCCTCGAAAGACGACAAACGATAATGCCCAGACTCTGGTTCCCCCCTGCTTAAAAATATGTCCTTCCCCCAAATGAAAAATTGTGCCCTGTGATGGGGCGCATGAATTGTCCTCTCAGGGGAATTCCTTCCTGGGCTTTTCGGGTGCTAACAAAAATAAATGGACTTTAAACAAGAAGCAACCATCTGTTCAATGAATGCTTCAAAAACGCTTTATTATGTTTTTTTAAAAAGTCCTAAGGAGAGCACTGCAGAAGGACGCTCACCTCCAGGCTGCGGTAATAGCGCTCAGGGATCTCATCATAGGCGATGTCCAGGAACATGACTTCGTGGTCTCCTAAGATTTGATCGCTGTGGAAGATCTGGGAAGGAAAGAGGGTGGAAAAAAAGGCAGGGCTGTCAGGACGGCGGGATAGAGGCGGGAACCACAGATAGTGGCTAGCCTGGGCCAGTGAATTCAGATGGGGGACACAGGCCCAGGAAGAATGAATCAGAGTTCGGACAAGCCACGTAGCCAGTCCAACTGACCTCCCTGGATTGCACCTCCTGCCATTCTCAAAACCCATGCTAGCTTAGAGATTCTGGGAATTTTAGCGGGACGAACTTTTTGCAAAGTTCTAAACAAGGTTGTAGGCTTCTTTGTTGGGAGAACAGATTTCCTCCATGCCGTTCCCAATCACCCCGAGAGGCAGGCAGGCTTTTAAAAATTCAGACTGGCTTTTGGTAACGGGTTCTGCCTGGAGAGCTCAGTGATTGAGGTCTCTGGCTGTGGAGAGTTCGATTCCCCCCACTGAGCCTCCAGGGAGAAGAGCCAGCCTGGGTAGCCTTGGGCCAGCTGCACAGTCATCCCAGGGCTTCCCCCAGTTGAGAGGACTGGGAAGCCACTTCTAAGTCCTCTATACCAAGAAACCCCTGGAAAGGATCATCATAAGTCAGAAGTGACTTGACAGCACATAATTATTATTATTAATTGCCAATGGACTGATTGTTGAGGAATGGCTGTACAACTCCTTTCCCTCCCAGGCTGGTTGTAACCCTATAAACATGTTTTTTTTTCCTATTACAGTTGGATCACAGTATCCACAGGATCAGTATCTGCTGATTTACTTATCCATGGTCCTAAAATATTAAAAGAAATGTCTTAGAAATATCTATTTCTACAATGTCATTAACAGACCTGGCCACTAGAGGGGGGCAGAGACCGTGCTATGTATAGCATTCGCTGTTAAACTAATGTTTTAATCCATGTTTTTTAGCATCCTCGGAGTGCGCGGGCTCGGAAACGATTCTCCGTGGATACGGGGCTCCTCCTGTAACTGGTGAAGAATCACTCACGTTTGTGTTGTCTCCGCAGTTGTCTTCATATTTGGTCTCTATGTAGATGGAAAATTTTGGCAGAAAGGAACACTAGAACGAAAGGGGAGAGATGGTGAATTTGAGGACGCCTGATAAAGGTGACCCTTTGTCCACCACTAGATCCCATGTTCCTGTTCTTCTGCCTCTCAGAGACCCAGGGGTGTGGTACTCAAAATCACCACACTTTAAAAGAGAGAACTCTTGCCAAGAACTGTGTTGAGAAGGCAAGAACTTGCACGCACTGTGCAAACCGAAACAAGTGTTGTATAATTTGACCTGCTTTTTGCTCTTCTGGCAGTTGTAACAGGACACGGGTCACCGAGAAGCAGAGTCTGCCCCCTCTCTGGTTTCTGAGACGGCCCAAACACAGTAAGTTACATTCTCACAACCATAAGAGCTAGAAACTTGGGTCTTTTTCCAACGTGAAGATCCTGAAGGAGCTGGATTTTGTACCTTGAAACTCTCTAGAGTTTCAGTACCCCTAGTAAAAGACAGCAGGAGCACACCTCAAGTTACCTTGGTGCTTCTCCAGGCCGAGCCTAATCATTAGGCAGAGGGAGGCGGCTGCCTCGGGCGGCAGAGTTCTGGGGTCGTGAAAGGGAAGCGGACTGCGAGTCACTTGATCGGAGCTTATTAGACTTTTACTGACAGGCAGGAGGAAGAAGTGCTTAAAGGGATTTTGTGACTCATGCTAGCTGGCTGGATAGCGTTGGGTACCAGGCTTCTTTGACTCGAGTGCTTAGCCTTGAGGAAAGAAGATGGAGGGGAGAACAGGATAGCACTTTTCAAATACTTCATAGTCATGCAGAGGAACGGCAGGATCTGTTCTCGATCCTCCAAGGGTCCAGGCCACGTCATGATGGGTTTAAGTTACAGGAAGCCCAGATTTTGGCCGAATATCATAACTGTTAGAGCAGTACGACAACGGAACGCGTGATCTCAGGAGGGGGTGAGCGTTCCGGCACTGGAGGCCTTCAAGAGGAAAATGAGACCGCCCTCTGTCGGATCTGCTTTCATTGGGATTCCTGCCTTGAGCAAGGGGGTGGGCGGCCTGGATGGCCTCATGGGCCCTTTTCAACACCATGATTCTAGGATTCCATGAGCGAGCAAGGGATACCTTGTACAGTGGTGCCTCACTTAACGACGATAATCTGTTCCAAGAAAATTGCTGTTATGCGAAAATATCGTAAAGCGCAATTAAAAAGCCCATTGAAACGCACTGAAAACCGTTCAATGCGTTCCAATGGGCTGAAAACTCACCATCCAGCGAAGATCCTCCATAAAGCGGCCATTTTCGGTGCCTGTATAGTGAGGAATCCGTCCCTAAGCACAGCGGGGAGCCATTTTAAGCACCCAGCAGCTATTTTGAAAACCCAACGATCAGCTGTTTTTGATCGTCGTAAAGCAAAAATCGGTTCCGAAGTAGGGAACCGATCATCGCTAAGCGAAATTCCCCCATTTAGACCATTGTTTTGCAATCACACTTGCGATCGTAAAAACATTGTCGTAAAGCAGATTCGTCGTAATGCAGGGCAATCGTTAAGCGGGGCACGACTGTACAGTGTTCTTCTGCTTTAGGCAGCCTAATTCCTTGGCATATTCCTTAAGGAATTCCTCAAACTCGTCCTCATATGGCAACTCCATTATTCTTGGGCTGGTCTTTCTCCATCTTGCATTTACTTGCTGCTCTCTGACTGGGTTCTGTCCTGTTACGGAGAAAATGGAGGCGCACTAAGCCTGCAAGCACATCTAGGTACTCACCGTGTACTCTGAAGTGACCATGAGCCAGTTCCAGGAATCCGCAGGACCGCAAAGGAGAAACACAGAGAAAAGCATGAAAAGATGTGTTTACGGTCCCTACAGCAGACATCATTGGATTTCTCTCACTACCTTAATCAACGCTATAGCGCTCAAAAACAGTAGCATTCTCACTCATATGTTAAAATGGCCAGAGGCATATTTAAGGAACAAGAAATATTAATGTGTTCATCAAAAAAAAAATCACTGGGGATTCATCTTTAAAATAACAGAGGGCAAGGAACTAATTTTAAAGAAAACAACTCCAAATTCCGGGGCTCGGAAATTCCAAAATTACAGCAGAATAAGGTTACTCCGTAGGTGTTACTCAGTAACAGCACCCGATTTTAATTTTGGGGATGCAGAATCTGAATCTAAAGACAGCTGGTCATCCCCAAAGCCTCCGGATTGAATGTAGGAGGGACTGGCCAGTCTTAAAGTGAAGCTGCTAGAAGCCAATACCCATTTCAAAAGCATTTGTGGGGCTGGCAGGAGGATTCCGATGGTGGGCCACATGCTGGCTTCAAGACGGCCCAGTTCCCACACCGGTTGTAGAAAAACCGGTTGCTCAAATATTTCTGTTGATTGCCTCTAGCTAGGACTCCAGATGAGGACCTGAACGGAAACCTCATTATGCTGATGAAGATGCTGGTGAACCACCACTTCATCGAAGGCACCAACACCCTAGGCTTATTTTTGGGCCGGGGGGGGGGGCTCCCACAAGGAGACGTAGGACCAAACTTCCTTGTTCGTGTTAGGAGTGGGAGGAATGATAACTGTTCACGCATCACGTTTCCCATAGGAGTGCTGACGTTTTTGATGGGGGAGCCCTTGATGGGGACGGATGCAGAAAATCATGTCTGTGAAATTCCAGCCGGATCCTTCCCAAGTCATTTTGAACCACAAGTACAATGATGCCTCGCAAGACGAAAATAATCCGTTCCGCAAATTGTTTCGTATTGCGAAATTTTTGTCTTGCAAAGCACGGTTTCCCATAGGAATGCATTGAAATTTAATGAATGCATTCCTGTTCGTCTTGCGAAGCACAGCCATATAAAAATTTGTCTTGCGAGTCATGAAAAAAATCGCAAAACGCTTTCGTGTTGAGATTTTTTCGTCGCGCGAGGCATTCGTCTTGTGAGGCATTACTGTAAATCAACCTGTATCAGCAGTTTCTTCTACCCCAAACAGAACAGTTAACGAAGGGCTAAGAACGGACAAACCGCAGGATGGAGCAAAGGCATAAGACACAGCCTCTCATGCCTGCTAGCACTGAATGTTGACCCATTCTGGATCAAGACCTGGAACGTGTCTAGATTAGGAGCATCTTAAAAAAAACACCCCAAACTAGCCCTTTCTCTTTCCTAAAAGGGAAAATCACGTACAATTCTCTTCTAAAAGAAGGTACCCTCCCATCACCCCTCTAAATATAGACACAGTAAGACACCCCCCGCATACTAAGATAACATAAAATATTTTTTAAATCCCATACTTTTAAACTGCAAGTGCTATTTTAAAAAAAACCTGGAAATGATCTTCTGGCCAGTTCCACTTTCATTTGGACAAGCTGGGGTGGCCCCTGGAGAGTCTTGGAGGCAAAAAAATGCCCCCCTCCGGGTCCTCAAAATTGTTCCCTCCTGCTCTAAACCATCCCTTTCCTCCAGAAACATCCAGCCGCTCAGACGGGCGCTTAACGACGTTCCCAAAAGGCAGATGGTTTAGCCGTCGTCAGGAAGAGTAGCCTAGCGGAGATGAATCCCAGGCTCCCGGAATCCCGACACCCAAATTGCTTCTTCTTACCTGTGATGGTGTATGGATAGTAATTCCAAGCTTTTTCCGTGATGTAGAAGATCCGTGGAGTTACTGCACGCGCCCAGCTGGGTAGTTTGCTGCACAAAACCGGAGAGAAAACCAGGGCTTAATCAGGCAGCAATGCCAAGACATGAACTCCCTCGCTCAAAAACAACAACAACAACAACAACAGCTATCACAATTTGTTAATTTTATTTAATAATTTAACTCCACGACAACATGAATATTTCGTGTACATATTGCAAGTCTCTGGAAAATGAAACCACCGCAAAGTTCAGTGCTAAATTTCAGGGATAACCTTAAAATCCCATCTAAAAGCAGCACACACGTTCTAGATAAAATCTGAGTTAACCATCAGACTACAGAGAGAGAGAGAGGGTGGGGAGAGAAACTGTGTGGTCCTTGTACACACCTTTATTAGATCACTAACACCTTACAAGGTAAAGGTTCCCCTTGACAATTTGTCCGGTGGCATCCGACTCTAGGGGGCGGTGCTCATCCCCGTTTCCAAGCCATAGAGCCAGCGTTTTGTCCGAAGACAATCCTTCGTGGTCATGTGGCCAGCGCGACTAGACATGGAATGCCGTACAAACAAGCAAGCTTTTAAAGTCTCACAGGATTCTTCACCAGCTGAGCGTTACTGAGCTCAGGGGGGTATGGAAGAAACAGAAAAGTCCCCCAAATTATCATAGCCAACTGCCGGCGCCGGGGTCCCTTGTTTACAGTAGATTTCAAAATGGGCCCAACGACCTTAAACAACCAGCTTGAGGTACCATTTTGATGAAACTGAGATTGTCTTATTTGGAGCACGTCATGAGAAAGACAAGGCTCGTCGGAAAAAGACAATAAGGCTGGGAAAACTGGAAGGCAGAAGGAAAAGAGGATGATCAGAGATGAGGTGGATTGACTCTCGAAGTGAAGCCACGGGCGTGCATTTGTAAGAGCTGATCAGGGCTATTGATGGCAGGACCTTCTGGAGGTCACTCATTCGAAAGTGAATTGACGGCACATTAAGAGCAGATTTCAAATTCTACTCCAGTGTCGATTTCATCATCCTTCCCCACTCTTGGTAGATCGAGTGCTGCCAGTCACACAGCATCTTTCCCGTTGGCTTATATCAAAGTTGGGAATAAAGGCAGGGGACTATAGAAGACACCCAGAATAGCTGATGATGATGGTTAGCTCCATCTAGGAATGGGATTTTCAGATTTTCTGGACTCCCAAGACCATCATTCTCCACTCCAAGAGGTCTACCTATCTTGCAGACCCCTCACAAACACCTACCGTATTTTTCCATGTATAAGACTATTGTCTAAAATCTTTAGACTAAAAACTGAGGGCCGTCTTATACACAGGAGTAAGCTGAGGAAAGAACAAAAACAAGTGGAGGGGAAAGAAAGAGATTCTGCAGTGCCTTTATCCATTTCCTCCTATACTTGCAAAGCCCCACTTAGATTTCCTAATTTTGGATTAGAAAAGTGGGGGGCGTCTTATACACGGAAAAATACAGGTAAATGTGAGGCCTAAACTAGATGGCTTCCAATCTTAGCTAGGCCTAGTTCTGCTGAAGCTTCCTGTTCCTGCCCCAGTGCTACCTGGGAGTTTTCTTTATGAGCCTGAAGCTTGGGCGCAGCTAGGCCTAGCTTCTCTCTCCCAGGTGAGCCACACTGAAGTGTTTGTCGGGTGCCTGCTAGGTAGGCAGAACTCCCAGAGTGGAGAAATACAGCATTTGTGGTCCAGAAAAATCCCCAAATCTCATCCCTGTGTAGGAATGTGCTCAAATGGAGGACTGCTTCTTCCCGATTTATTTGGAAATACTCTCAATACGGTTGCAATTCACTGCACCTTACATAATAACTGCATTTTATTTCACACTTGTCAGATACGGGGATTGCCATATTTCTGTGTGCTTCCTCGAGCACAGTCTTTGTTTCCCCCCCACAAAGAGGCTTCCACTTTCTGCCGGTCAAGAAGCATTCGGCAGCTACTCTGTCTTTCTTAATGGAAAAGTTAAAACAAAGGGAGGCAAAAGCAATCGGAAAGAGTGGGGAAGTTATAAATGGAAGACCACACAGAGTGTCCAGATCACTGTACACTCGCTCCGTCACATGCACGAAGCAACAAGCGTGAGGCAGACAGACTGTGCAATTCAGGTCAACTGCAAGATAAAATCCTGGCCTGGAAGCACCTGTACACAAATGGGCACTGCAACGAATTTTTGCAGTGTGGAATGCGGACGTTCAGAGCTCCAGCCAGCAACCTACCTAGCCCACCTTCCTAGATGCTAGTCCAATCCAGATTCTTCTATCTGCAGTGTTCATAACAGTTACAGTGGTGCCTCGCTTGACGATTACCTCGTTAGATGAGGAAATCGCTTGACGATTAGTTTTTTGCGATAATTATTGCAATCGCTAAACGATGATTCAATGCGGTTTTTCCGTTTTACGACGATCGGTTCCCCGCTTCAGGAACCGATTTTTCCCTTTACGACGATTTTTAAACAGCTGATCGGCGGCTCTAAAATGGCCGCCCGCTGTGCAAAATGGCTCCCCGCTGTGCTTTAGGACAGATTCCTCGCATTACAGGCACCGGAAAATGGCCACCCCTATGGAGGATCTTCACTGGACGCTGAGGTGTTTTGCCCATTGGAACACATTGAACCGGTTTTCAATAGAATAGAATAAATAAATATTTATAATGTTCATCCCTCCCCTCCAAATGATTAGCCAATGAGCCTATTCAGCCTTTATGGGGTTGCTTCGGAAAAAAGCATATCCTCCTTTCCAAAAGTGCCTTTTCTTTTTCTCTCCAGAACTTGTTCCAACTTCACAGACACCCACCTACACACGCAGTCTTACTGACACCACTTTCTAAAGCAGGATGGGTGCTGTCTGAGCTATCTAAAGACCCACACCTTGCAGATGGCTTTGCTCTCAGTATATAGAATTTGCCAGCGCTCCAAGAACCTGTTTGGTTGCCAGAGGCAACAAGGAATTTGATACCCACAAGCAAGAGACATCGCACAGATCCCTTTTTTCCTCGTCAACCTGGCCCAGCTCAGCTAAGTGGAGCAAAAGATGAGGCACACCGAATAAAGGGGCTTAACTTTCTCTACAGCCCACATAGAAACATAAAACTACCAGGCTACTTATTTTTTTAAAAAGGGGAAAATAGAAGTATCAAGGAAAAAAAGCATATGGGATATTTAATGAGGGCACTTTAGCATTATCTCATTGTTTTCACAGGGCTAGGCTGTTGGGAGTTCCTGCAACCTCGTATGCTGCCTGAAGGAGGTGTGGCCGGGAGAGGGCTGGGGTGGCTGTCAGTCTATCCAGCAGGAACCAATGGCTCCTTCCCTGCCTCTGAATTCAAGGAGAGGCCCGCCCCTTCTCTGCTCTGCCTTTCTCCCTCTCTACTATTTCAGTCTATCGAAAGCAGGGGTCTGTTGAGGCCTGTTGCTGTAAGCAGTTGTGTTTGTTTCTCAGTTTTGCTGTTATCTGTTCATGTAATGAAGCATGTTTATTCTTTCCTCTTCAAATGTCTCAGAGTGAGTTATTGGGACTGTAAGTGTCTGATCAGGAGAAAAAGGGGGTGAACTGCTCTGGAGAACTTGAAGCTAATTCTGAATTGGGACTGTAAGTGTCTGATCATGAGAAAAAGGGGGTGAACTGCTCTGGAAGAACTTGAAGCTAATTCTGCTCTGTGAATCCCTCTGCACTTCTGCTGCACAGCTAGGAGAATTTAACCGACAATTCAAAACTCTGCAAGGGGCAGGCTGGGAGGCTGCGCTAAGCTTAGCTCTGTTCAAGTTTCCTGTTCGAGAAAAAAGCCTCCCAGCTAAGCAGGTGGCCTAGCTCAGCTCCACGGCCTTTCCACTGAGGCATTTCTCCAGGAGAGCCATATTTACTTGTCTGTAAAGTGCTGGCCGATCAGGTGGAATGTCCCGAATTGAGAACTATGGGATTTTCAGTCCAAGAAATTAAAAAAATCTCACCCCTAGATCGGATCCTTGTTTCAGTGAATGCCATTAGGCTGGCGATTGAATCATGGAAAGTTCAGATTGAAAGCTGGAGAGGATTCACCACCCTTCCAGAGAATCAGAGCCATCAGACTTCAACGAGAATGAGACAATTAATGCCTAAGTGTGACACACTAGCGTGTAGGGGCGCTGTTGTGAAGCCCCGGTGAATTTGTGAGTTGTTGTTTTTTTAAGAAGGTGGTGAATCCCCTCCAGGATTTCACCTGAACTTTCAAAGACACTCTCCAAGGTGCTAGTGCTATTAGAGAGATACGCCTCAGGCTCTTAGGAGAGCTCCTCTAAAGTTCGGATGAAAAGCCAGAGGGGATTCACTGCTTTCTCTCACTCCTGCTTCTTGAAGTCAGAGCCACCAGCCTCTGTGAGGATACAGGATGAACGACGTGGCCAGGGCGCTCCGGAAAATCACCTGGGAGGGCCGCCTGAATTGAGAACCTCCTTCTACCAACCGGCAGGGCTGGCGCCATATGTGCGTGCTTGCTCTGCTTCTCGTGCTGCGAAGGGTTCAGCGAACGCTCGCTCTCGCACGGCTTACGGTCACCTGTTTGAATCCCAGGGGCTTTCCTCAAACACAACAGCTCCTCTTCCTTAATCGTAGGGTAGGAGAGATGAGATGCTTCTCTCCCTCCCACCCCTGAAACAACCTCCCTCCCCAACTCCAATCCAATTTTGGGCTCTATAAATAGCATCCCTTGACAGGAGAATCGTGAGAGCCATGTCTAAAAATACAGCTCTCCCCCTGCTCTTCTCGTATCGACGGCTCCCCCAGTGGCTAGCCAGCTCGCCGAGAGATGCGGCGAGGAGCAGGATCCACACCGCCAGAACTGTCCCCGAGTCAAATGAGGCTTCCCTGCTATTCCGGGGCCATTGGGGCAAGCCAGCAAAACGAGGAAGGGAGAGAACAGATCTCAGCAGTCTAGCTAAGAAGTGAACGGCTTCAAATTAGGGATGGCTGCAATAAAGAAGGAAGCCCGGTCTAGTAGGGTTGCAGAGCACATCTGTTTATAAGCCACGGAGGGAAAAGAAAGAGCAGGCGCCGGAAGCCGAGAAAGGCTGACAGCCTGATCCATGGTTCTGCTGGATTTCAAGTATATGGATTCAAGCGGATTAAAAGCCAAGGAAGCTTGCAAACCCTACATATTTTGAACAGGGAATGGCTAAATTTAGCTTTTTAAATTTTTTTAAAGTGCAGGGCTAAACTAAGACATCTGCCTCTCCTATGCATGGCACGGATGCTACTTTGCACCGGAGTGCACGCACAACGAATCCTGAAGGTTCCTGGTGGAGCAGCTGCTGGTTTAATAGCCCAGCCAACTCAGGCTGATCTCCTCTGCCCCGATTCTAGCCCTGCCTCTAAACACAACCTTCTGCCCCCTGTCCGTGACTCCCTCATCCATGGTGCCTGGTTTTATCTAACCACATTTCTACAGAGGTGCAAGGAAACAACGGTCAAGCATAGTACTGTCCTCGTTCTGCTTTGCGACTGCTAGAAGAAGCCAGATGTTGCTGGAAATTAAGCAAGGAAGGTGGCATTTGGACAACTGGCTTATTCATGTGTGTGTGTGGGGGGGAAGGAGGCTGGAAAGGGTCTCTGTCCGGGTCGCTGAAGCAGCTGGCAGAACCAAGAGCTGCGACAGTCCCACCGAGACTTCTCATGACATATAAACTCTGTTTAAGGGTATTATACTGACACAGCCTGAAAAGGACATTTTTTGTGCATTCTAGAAATGGGAACATACTAGTGACAACAGGAAAATTCAATGCCAGGAGTACTAGCTTCTCTGGCCAGACTAATAAAGAGCAGCATCCTCTCCCCAGAAGGGTCAAATCACATGAAACAGGCAAATGTTGGCACAATCGACTGTTCTACTTCTCCCAGTCCAATCAACTCCATGGATTCCTGGGATGTGAAACCTGATGTGGGATTTTCAGATTTCCCCCCTACTCTAGTGGGAACTTGCTACTGGATTTCAACCATCGGGTCTGCTCTGATTGGGACTAAATCTAAGATGCTTGCCCTGAGGGGCTGTGGGTGTGTTAAGGTGTGGCTCATGGCTAAACCAACAACCCTTCCTAAGGCCCCCCCCCAAATCTAAACAAGATGGCCTGGAAATCCCTACATTTTGGGCATAAAAGGGACTTCTTAGGGGCAGTACTTTTCCCAGGATCCCCATCTTGAAAGACAAATCTGAAGTTCCCTTCAAGGGAGGCCATGATGGGGACTATGGGCTTGCATTTGGCATCCCAGCCCCCCAGGCCCCAAGAAGAACCTCGGACAGCAGTTCAGGTCTCTGGCTGCAGAGCCAGAGGTTGGGATTTTGCTCCCCCCCGAGCCTCCTTGGCAGGGCTAGAAGGGACCGTATAGATCATCCAGTCCAGCTCCTTGGCAGGGGCTGGACTGGATGATGTATAGGATCCCTTCTAGCTCTGCAGTTCTAAGATTATTATAAGATACACTATATATTTACACACATACACATACATCAGATCAGTACATCCCACAGTAAGTCCTCCAGTTCTTGCAACTGGCAAGCACGGCAGGGAGGATGTTGTGGGTCTGCCATGCTCAGCAGCCTCCATTCCTCCAGCTCTCGTCTGCCCCTTCCCTGCCGTGGGGTGGCTGAGTTATGAAACACGGAGAGGGGGGCCCTGGGTGAAGCAGGGCCGATGGGGAGGGG